TTAAAAAGTCGATTGAACTATTTTTATATAAACAGTTCATGAAATCCCTTCCGTTGATATAGGAATACGCAGAGATCAATAGGTTCTTATATCTTCGCCAAGCTTGAAGTCCTCCACGTTACAAAGCAAATCAAAATGATTTCCAAAAACGATGGAACAGTTCTAAAAACAGTTCGATAATAAATCCTTTCCTTACTTGATCAATAGATTCATATATTCTCCTCAAGCTTGAAGTCTTCCATGTTATAAAGTAAATTCAGGTTTGTATTTCCAGTAGACAGTATGTAAGCAAATATATGGATATAGATCCGACAGTATGAAGAAAAATACAGAAAAAACAAACAAAAATTTTAACATGCAATTATGCTGTATTAATGTTATTAGTCTTCGAATACGTTTTCACAATATCGCCCACGTGACGACAACGTGATCACATTTAAACGGAACGCTGATCTTATATAAAATTTCAGTTATTTTTCTTCATACTGTCGGATCTATATCCATATATTTGCTTACATATATATACTACCGATACTAGAAAGAGCGATAACAGTTAGTGGACTTGAGTGGACTCTATTTTCCGAAAAAGAAAACTGAGAAAGATTTTATAAATTTTATGTAACAGTAACGCTATCTGTTCACTGAATGCATGGCCAATGTTTCCTGGGGGGAAACGGTTTATCTAACAATTAACATTATCATATTTAAAAAAAAAAATTTACATTTACGTTTTTGATTTCTTTAACCGTTTTACTTTGGAATTCAACGCTTGTGTGTTTCAACAAATGTGAGTCAGAAAAGTTAAATTGTCATCGATGCTAAATGAATGCAACCGAATCGTTACTCCCTCAACAACTCATTGTCAAAGCATTATGCTTCTACCATGAAATTGTCGATAGTCTGGTTCTTATTGTAGGAATACCATTTCCCTTACGAATTTGACCTCACCAATAATAGTATCGGGGAGTTGTGGCACCAGATCGATAGAACGTAAAATGGTTCACATTTTTTGTGTGTGACAGAAGTCTGATCATGGACATCATCAATCACACTCACAATGACTCACTCGAGAATTGAAAAGTAAATTTTTCAGCGCATTAACTCCTTAATTTGTCATCTCATTTTATTTAGTCCCTCTTGCTTTCTTTGGACAGTATAATCAAATAAACTGGTTCATACAACATATATATATATATATACACACTACACACACACAGATAGATAGATAGATAGATAGATAGATAGATAGATAGATAGATAGATAGATATAGAATAGATAGATAGGAGACTGATTAGAAAGCTAATATCATAGAATATTGATAGTACACTGTTCGACACTCAATCTCTACCTTCTGCATTATAGCGATCCTACACGACCCGAATCAAAGATAGATAGATAGATAGATAGATAGATAGATAGATAGATAGATAGATAGATAGATAGATATCGAGAGTGGCGGGAGAGAAATAAATAGAATGAGATAGATAGATAGATAGATAGATAGATAGATAGATAGATAGATAGATAGATAGAGAAATAAATAAACAGAATTATAGAGAGAGAGAGAGAGAGTCAGAAAGAGAGAGAAATAGATAAATTTATTACTTTAGACTTTATTTTTAGTTGATGGCCATAATTGAGTAGACGCTCCGTTTATTTTTAAAAGGTATATCATTTCGTCTACCGACCTGAACATTCGAGAAATTTTGTTAGAGAAAAATGTGCCCACCAGTAGGATTCAAATATGTGTCCCACTTTGCAGGAGAAACCGTTGTTTGATCCGACGTGCTTTTGACCACTAGGCTACGAAAAGCTTCATAATCAAGCAATGTTCTATGATCATTCAGATTCTTCGAAAGTCATAACTCCGTACTCTATTTTTAAACGACAGTATTTCCTAATCTCTTTGCTAATTTTTTTCTAGGAAACCAATTAAAAATGAAAACCAATCATGGTATTGACTAGTAGAATATCACCCTAGAATACTTTACGGTCTCTCTAAAACCCACTAAATATATCGCCTAATGTGGCCATCTTCTCGGGAATAGAAAGCGCCCTCCCCCACATACACACAAAAAAAAATTGGTATAAGCCATTACAAAAATTCTAGCCACTCTCTTTGAAAGAATCAGCCCATCTCATATAAAGAACTCGGGCAGCTTTGTTGAAAAACTAAAGGAAATAAACATGTTGGCAAATTCATGACCAGTCGAGATATAAAATTCCTTTAGACCAACGTCCAATTGAAAAATGTCTAACTGTTAAAAAGCATCTGACACAATCAAAGTTAAACCTCTCCCTACAAATAGCTAAAATAATAAAAATCTACCGTCTAATCAGCAATCAATGATTATTATTATTATTATTATTATATTAATAATGATTTTTACAAGCAAGAATTAGAATTACCAATAGGATCGCCTCTTAGTGGAATGGTGGATTATTTTCTTAGAATTTATCGAATCTGGTCCTTTCCAAGATATTTTACTCAAACAATAAAAATACTTCCGTTATATTGATGATGCTCTATTAATATATCCACGGGTACATTCAACAGAATTTACATACTAAATTGAAGAATACAATCCTCTATCTTTCCTAGATATTATACTACACCGCCTTAACAATAGCTTAAGACATGCTGCCCACCGCCGGAAACCACCCAACGAAAACGATCTAATAGATTTCTATTCTCATCATGGCAACAAAATAAAAACCTGGTATAATCATCGGATTCAACTTAAGAGCGCTCAGAATTTGATGCCCTCAACATTTACATGATGAAAAATACATTGAAAACACTTTCAAGTTGTTTCAGTATCCTAATTATTTTATATTCAATGCGAAACAAAAGGCTCTTAAAACATTGTAAAATGGAAAAACGGCCCCTCTTGCCAAATCCAAATAAAAAATATATATTGTCCTACAAACTGATTCTATCACAACTACAATTGAAAATAACTTATCTAAACTCAACATAAAATTTATTACTACTACATCTAAAACTATAAAAGATTTAGTCAATACTAAACACAATAAACTAAAACTTGGAGCAGGAATTTACTCTATCGTCTGTAATAATTGTTACAAAAATACATAGAATAAAGCACAAGAAATCTAAATAAAAGATTATATGACCCCAAAAGGGACATTTTACAAAACAATACATTAAATGCATTAGTTTCTCGCCGTAACAAAACTGGCTATTATTTGGAAATAAAAAATGCTACTCTAATCAAAAGAGAAAACAATTCCCTAAGACGTAAATGTCTACAGAGTACCTTAATTGCAGGTCATCCACAGTAAATTTGCGCCCTGCTCCTTACAACATTTAACATTCCTGGCAGATCGTCTATTATTACAGTGTGGGATATCTAATAACAAAAGTGGTAGAAAGAAAAAGAATCTAAATAAAATCGACTAGATTATATACCAAAGAAACAAAGTTTAATTTAAAATTCCCAGCATCCCTCGTTCGTGCGCATGTGTAGTCGCACCAACGTAACAGATTTGGTTTGAAAAATTCCTAAATATTGTTCTTGCAATATAAAAATTTATATATCGTTATCTTATATATATATATATATATATATATCAATTATGTGGTGCAGTTTAATTTATATTACAGTGAATCATTCATACAAAAAGTAAATTAGAAAAGTTAATGAGATAAAATAGCGAATTGACTTCGTTAACTAAATTTTTAAAATGCATTAACCCACTAAATACACGACGAATGTCATGATCCTTGTTTTTAAAATTATAAACTGTATTAGGCTTTCCTTAAATATGGTTTGCATTATTTTTTTCGTCTCGGATACTACCTGAATTTTACCAAAAAAAAATAATTTATATGCCCGATGATGACCAGAGAACATGTCAAAAGTACTTGCATATTTAAGGAAGACCTAATGCAGTTTAGAATTTTAAAACACAAAGACGATAACATACATCAAGTGGTTAGTGGATAAATGCATTTTTAAAATTTAGTTAGCAAGTGAATTCGCCATTTTATCTCATTAACTTTACTAATTACTTTTATTTGAGTGATTCATTCATATATATATATGTGTGTGTGTGTGTGTGTGTGTGTGTGTGTGTGTGTGTGTGTGTGATGGTTGCCACCTCTTTTTTTGTGTTGCACCATCGAAAGATATCCTTGAAAGACTCATTTGGGAATTATGATATCAAGCAATGTTGTTTGTGCATAATTTTTTTTTAAAACGGAGGAAATCGTTTCACTGAGCCAATCCCATTCTGTAAACAAGAAAAAATGGACCTAAAAAGAAGAGCCAGTCAACATAATTGGATGCCATCAAGCTGCGGGTATTATATTAGAGATTTCCTTTTCGCATAACGAAGGCTAAGGGGCCCAACACTCCCAGTGGGCTTACCGCGTCTTTGGACACCAACCCAGCTATTTCTACATCAACACGCAGATAGATAGATAGATAGATAGATAGATAAAAAGTGAGACATAAATAGACAGAGTTGAATATAAGCAAATATTCACACAGAGACAAACAGGAATTAGGCTGTGATTTAGAATAATAGAACAGCACAATCTTTCTATTTTAATTTTTGCCCCCAACCCAGGTAGCCTTGTACCAGACTAATTTAAGCGCAAGAATTAGCTCTAGAACAATCAAAGTGCATTAAACTGAATTCTTTCACTTTAACGATTATATTTTAGGTGAAGAGTTTTCCTTCTTAAAGTTCTTTATCCCCTCTTTCTCTTAATATTTCCTTTTCCACGGTGCGTTGAATAATTTTTCAAACAATATTTTCGTTTGTATTTGATTCATTGAAGATGATTTAAAGGTTCGGACCCATTGCTGGGTTCTTCAGTTTTCCGCTTTGGTGTCGTAAATGCACAAAAGGAGAATGAGATAATTGAGTGAACAGACGATTCACTGGTTACAAGGAATATGATTTGGAGGAGATTGAGAAAATGGCGCAATTTCGAAAGGAATTAAGAAATACAAGAAAGAACGATGGATTAAAAGAAAGAAAGGAATGAATAGAAAAGAAAGAAAGAAAGAAAGAAAGAAAGAAAGAAAGAAAGAAAGAAAGAAAGATTAGAAAAAAAAGGAAAGAAGAAGGAATTGAAGAAAAATGAAGGAATACAAGAAAGAAAGGGTGGGAGGAATAAAAGAAAGAAAGAAAGAAAGAAAGAAAGAAAGAAAGAAAGAAAGAAAGAAAGAAAGAAAGAAAGATTAGAAAAAAAAGCAAAGAAGAAGGAATTGAAGAAAAATGAAGGAATACAAGAAAGAAAGGGTGGGAGGAAAGAAAGAAAGAAAGAAAGAAAGAAAGAAAGAAAGAAAGAAAGAAAGAAAGAAAGAAAGAAGGTATTGAAGAAAAATGAAGGAATAGAAGAAAGAAAGGAAGAGAAGGAGAAAGAAAGAAAGAAAGAAAGAAAGAAAGAAAGAAAGAAAGAAAGAAAGAAAGAAAGAAAGAAGGTATTGAAGAAAAATGAAGGAATAGAAGAAAGAAAGGAAGGGTGGCAGGAATAAAAGAAAGAAAGAAAGAAAGAAAGAAAGAAAGAAAGAATGAATGAATGAATGAATGAATGAATAGAAATGAAGGAAGGGTAAAGAATTAATAGAAGAAAGAAAGAATGGACAAAAGAAAGAAAGAAAAAAGTATGAATAGAATAAAGAAAGGAAGGGGGATGACTTAATAGAAGAAAGAAAGAAGGAATAGACAAAAGAAAGAAAGAAAGAAAGAAAGAGTAGAAGAAAGAAAAGAAAAAATGAAGGAAGGAATAGAAGAAAATACGGAAGAGACGAAAGGAAGGAATACAAGAAATAAAAGCAAAATAAGAAGGAATAGAAGGAAGAAAAGAAAGAAACTCTTTTATTTCGTCTTTTATTTATCGTCATCTTCGCTTTCTTTCATTTTTCTTTCCCTTTGCTTTCTGCGACAAAAATGAAGAACGAGAAAGGAAATTTGTAAAAGAAAGAATGCTTTTAAAAAGAAATACTGCAACAGTCCATTCTTGGTGGTGACGTCATTGTTACTCACAAAAGCAACACTTTGGCTCGAGACTAAGCACCTCTCACCAGCAATTGGCAACGACTAATGGACACATTGATCAGAAATTCTGTTGACAGGAAACCTTTAATGGAGGCTCGGAGATCTCTGCAGAGCGAAACCCGTACTCTATTGTTTCAGATGGCATATGCACGCGACCTTTGTGTCAGAAAGGACAACAACAATGGAAGTTGCCGACTATAGGAGGGGCTGGGTATGAAAAGTGACGAAAAAGTGGGAGTTGGAGGTTGCCTCTCAAATAGGTTTAGGTATTATGATAATATTTACGATTTTGCAAGCATACGAACGTATTAAATGAAATAACCCCGGCAACCAGTGTAAACAACTATTTCTATGGGTGATTTAAGATTTCAAACCAATCATATTTACGCAGAATTAAGCTTAATCACTTGATGCCTGAAATTTCAACGTTTTTAAAAATTATGTTTCTGAGCAAACACTTTTCGTGTCGTTTTTAGATTGACAGATTGCGCGAGATATTAGAGTATATATATATATATATATATATATATATATATATATATATATATATATATATATATATATATATATATAACATTTTTATTATGTACCGTTGTCGTATTCTCTCGAATTCCCACATTTTTAAAAACAATCGAAAGAAAAAAAGCAACCAGGGATCTTTTAAAACTGATCCAGGATATAAAATAATCCCCCCCCCCCATACCGGGATGGATTATCACTTCGCTTTCTTCGGGCAGAGACGCAGCTGGGGAAAATAAAAAGCTGTGAGGTGCCCGGTCCACGGAAACAGTTGCACCCGAATAGAGAAAGAGAAGATGATTGCGGAGCTGGGCATTTTTGTACCTGGCCTAAGTGTACGCGCTAGGGTTCCCCTCATTAGATCCGACCTAGTGTCACATCTGGCCTCGGTCGAGACCACTGACTAGGATCAAAATGTAGTATCTGTTCCAGCGGCTGGCCCACATCTCCAGCCATCATCATCTGCAGCTCCAGCTCTAGCCATCCTCGCCAACAGCAACGATATGCAATAAACTGTCCTTTTCAGGGCAACCCTTTTCCGCGGCCACAAAACTGTCCTTTTCAGGACAACGTTCTTCAGTGACTAAAAAACTGTCTTTCTCGAGACAACGGTCTTCTCACCTGGTGCAATGTAAGAATATTTTTGTTGATGTATTTTCTTTAACGAAAGTAAACTTGGTATGTTTTTTTTTAACTCGAGTCTTCGTTTTGTTGTCTTACGTCATTCCATATCTTTTTAAGAGTCAATATACTAACTGCAATATAAAAGACAAATGGACATATTAGATACACCTACATTTCAGTAAGGCATATTCAGGAAAAATGTTTTAGTATGTTTAAGCTCGTCATTACAATACATTGCAAGCAGTAATGTACAAAGTCTGTCTGAAGAGTAACCGAACTTATCCGTTCCTCAGATAAGAGGCATCGTCCAAGGTGAGTTCTTGCCACGGGATCAATCAGCAAGTCTACAAAGAGATCATGTAGCGTTTGATTCGTTCAGTGCGCAAGAAGAAACGAAATTTGTGGCAGAACAAATCGAGGCTGCTTTACCACGATAATTCACCTGCTCACAAAACCCTGAGCATCCGGCAGTTCTTAACTGAGGACATCGCCGTACTGGAACAACTTCGTTGTTCATCTGATATTGCTCCATATGACCTTTTTCTTTTCCCCAAGCTCAAGGGTATCATCAAGAGGGCCAGTTTTAAAGACCTGGGGGCATCAAGAAGGCCGTAACGACAGAGCTGACAGGCATCCAAGAAGAATCTTTCCAGCAATGCATAGATATGTGGCAGAGAAAGGTGGAGGGTTATTACTAAGACAGAATGTATATATCTTAGCAAAAGAAATGCCCATGATTCGAGCTAAGAATTGGAAATGTTAAAATCAAACAAGTGCAGAAATTCAAATGTCTCAGATGACGGAAAAAGTGACACCGAAATCCGAAGTCTCTTTGGTATAGTAAAAGATGCCACTCAAAAACTAAAATTAATAAGAAACAGGAAAGTACTGTTAAAAACAAAGAAAAGAGCGTTGAGCTGCTATGTAATAGTAATCCACCTCTCTGGAAGGGGATGCTGAATAATTTCCTCACAGATGAAGAGAAGAGTTGAGGCAACAGAGATATGGTTCTACAGAAGGATACTGAGAATACCATGTGCGGAGCATGTAATCAACGAGGAAGCTTTTTCTGGAAAATTGGACACTAAAAGGATACATATACTTAGTACAGAAAGAGACAGATGAAAATAAGGCAAACAGCGAGGAAAGAAGGCTTGGAAAATTTGTCACTCATAGGACGATAGAGACAGCGGATAACCTACCTAACGAGTTTGTATAAATGGGTGGCAGTATAGAGAATGGGGAGATTATTAAAAGAGACCTTACTGCGAGCTAAAATGAATAACAGGTTGTGGAGAGCCATAATCCTGAAGGGATACGGCACATAGAAGAAAAACAAATCAGTTTACTAGTTCTAAATTAGCCTTTTCTTAGACTATAATTTTTTTTCTGGAAAGTTTGCGCGAAAATAAATATTGGTAGAAATAAGCATTAATACAAGAGTGTGCTATGGATTTGTTTTTAGTTACTAAGCGGGGGGGGAGGCGGGTAAGTTTATGACAAACCCGAGAGTAGGCAGTAGACGGCTTGAAAGTTTAGATTCTAAAAATGTCTGCCAATGCATTGAATTTAATTTAATAATGTTGACGACATTTTTTTTTTCCTGGAGTTGGAACAACAACGTGCTCATGAAGAAAAAGTTTGTAAAAATGTTGAACATGCTGACGTGCCAATGAAAGAAATTTAATTCGAATAACTTTCTATTTTCATATTTGTCTTTAATCATTTCTTTGCTAGCAAGCTAATAAAGCGACTAATACTCAAGTGGTTACTGAGTGTTAGAGAATATGATTAAAAAAAAGTACTCTTAAGGAGACAGGACATGAAAAGAACAAGAATTAAAAATATGGATGACATTTCATTTGAATTTCTGAAGATTAAATTTGGCTAGAAAGAATGGAGCCGGAAGAGAGTTCTAGGAGTGAGAAGTGCAAGAGAAGAAACTGTTAGCATAGAACTTACGGTTACAATTAACCATTTCAACTGTAAAATGATAGCATCTTTTCGACAATCTAGTACTGCGCTTAAATTCATAACGTTTAGGCAGCATACTGAACAGTTCATCAGAACATGAAAATACTTATAGAAAAGGCACAGAGAAGCTACATTACTGGTTTGGGAAAGTGACTGAAACCGAGATGCCATACCAGAGCCAATAACGTTGCAGATTCTTCTTTGGATTTTACAAAGAATCTGTAAATATATAGCAGGAGCACCAGACCAGATACGGCAGCAATATTTCATTTTGAAAAAAGAAAGGTAGAAGCTGTTTCTGATTTCTACATGAAAAAGTTTAACGGAGTAGCAACGTGCGAAAAAATTTACAAAATGCTATTCGATGCAACAAAGACATGCTCGAAGGCAAAAGGGTGGAAGCAAACAATGCCATCGTTTTTAAAGGATTATTTCTCCAGGGAATAAAACTTTCAAACCGCAAGAAATATGTTTTGTATTTTTTTTTTCTAAGCATTTTTTTTTTTTAGTTTGTTATGATGTACCTAGCTTTTTTTGTTTTTTACTTACGTGTGCGAATTATGAGGGTAACATTTTGTTTGATTTTTTATTGACTATTTTTTTCTTTTTCTTTTGGAATGATTGACATTGAAACTCGTTATAATAAATCATGAATTCCTGCAGTACTGAACAGCCCAGACAAATTTTCGAAAAAAAAAATGAATACCTAGATCTTTTCAATGTATTGTACAATATGTATATAATAACAAATATGTAACAAAATATTTACTGGTACATAAAGATAATGAAAAATAAGAAAAGCGACAGTCAATTGCTGAAACCTCCTGATGAGTAGACTGAACAATTACGAACACTTTCCTTTACGAAACACTGGAGACATAGTTCTGAATATAGCATCAATAAACTAATTACTCTGAATCCAGAAAAACACACTTGGTGCTTGTATAGGAAACGCTACATAGTAGGAACCGATATTTAGATACAAACAACGAAAGGCTCTAGCCATAAATAAAATCCAAGACTGCTTCCCTGGAATAAGATATCTTACGCCATCCACCAGTCGCAAAGACAAGCCCCTACTCATTAACAAGTCGTCTGCCAGAGGAGGACAGACATTGAAAATAAATTTAAAACAATGCTTCGAAACAGACACTTAGGGACTGATGATAACTGGGTACGGACCAGCTTGAAATAGAGTATTTCTATGTGGAGGTAATTTTTGTTTTTTGGCTGCAAAAAATACATATGGTCTGTTATAATAAATACATCGAACTCTCTGTGAATTAGTTTTAATAATTAATATTACTAGGATCCACCCGGATTATTTACCAACGGATCGATTACCTGTAATATATATATATATATATATATATATATATATATATGAATTCAATCCAATCAACGGTAAACTCTTAGCCGTAACAAATTGAAAAAGTCCGACTCATACAGTTGTTACTAGGTATCCATGCTATGAATTATCCAAACAAATTAAAAAGATTATGTTAAGGAATAATTCATAGTATATACATGTGAATAATAAGTGACAACTGTATAAGCAGAACTTTTCAAGTTGTAACTCGATAAAGTTTACCGTTGACTGAATTAATTCACACACACACACACACACACACACACACACACACATATATATATATATATATATATATATATATATATATATATAATTTACTCATTGCACCTTATTGGACAATTGTTTTCAGCTGGCATGAAGTGGAAAGCGTATATTGAATCAATTGTTAAATCTGCAACTAAAAATCTATCTTACATATTTATAAGTCTACCATTCTTTCTCGATTTGAATATTGCTGCCACATATTGCTGGTGTTCTTGCCATATATTTAGAGATACTTGATAAAATCCAAAAAAGAATCTGCAATGTCATTGGTCCTGATCTGATATCTCGGCTTCTGTCCCTATCCCACCATAGCTTCTCTGTGCCTTTTCTATAAATACTTTCATGGTAACTGTTCTGATAAACATTCCGATTTAATACCTAGACTTTATAAATTTAAGCGCAGTACTAGATTGGCTGCAAGGTCTCATCATTTTACATTCGAAATGGCTACATGTAATCGTAAATTCTATGCTAACAGTTTATTCTCTCACATTTCTCGCTAATGGAACTCATCTGGCTCCGGTTTGATCTTCAAAAATTTAAATGCAATGTCAACTGATATCGTCTCACTTCTTAATTGTTTTTTTTTTTTTGTTCTGTCTCCTTAATGGTAGATTTTTATACTTATAAGAAATATATGTGTGATAGAGTTCGTCAAAACATTCCAGTCTAATAATGGGAGAAAAACAGGTCCAGTTCCTGTCGAGAGATACATATTTCTTTAGTAAGACATCTTGATCTAGGCCAGTTGACATTAATTTGACTGTCTAAAAATAATAGGAGTGTCAACTCAAATACGTTTTCCCACTAAAATTAACGGTTATATTACTAAGATAGATAGATAGATAGATAGATAGATAGATAGATAGATAGATAGATAGATAGATAGATAGAATGGACTCTCCCGTCGATTTCGACGTATGAGGATCTGACAACTTAAACAATTGATTCAGTTATGAATTTTGTGCGATAATCTTAAGTGGCACTTTAGACCCGCTAGTGACTTGCAAAGGAGGCCGCATATGGAGCAAGAATGAAGATTATGGGATGTGGTCACTGTTAGATTGGCTGACATTTTAGATCTTGCTTCCTGAAAACAATTTAGATTATCAGATTGAAAACTACTGAGTCCACTAAAACACGTTGATCTCCATTCTACCCGCTCCAAGGCTAAGCGCTCGAGGATGTTATGAGGTATATTGACAGCTGACAAGTTGCTCTTCAGCTTGGCTTTGTATTTAAGCCATGGGCATCCTACATTCCTGTAGCCTTTATCTAACAGGCTGTACATTAGGATCTTGGGTATCCTGCCATCAGACATTCTCAAGACATGACCAGTCCACCGTAACTGAGACTGTATGAGGAAAGTCTCGATTCTTCCAATATTACACCTGTTAAAAGGGTTTACATCGGATGTTCTATCTTGAAGGCAAACACAGATGGCACGCAGACAGCTCTTATGGAATACATCCAGCTGGCGTAAATGGTACCTGTATGGAGTCCACGAGTCAGAGCCGTACAAAAGATGGCAAGGGCAACAGCTCTGTAAACCCGAATTTTTGTATCCAGTCAGATACTCCGCTTCTCCCACAAGTGATGGCGAAGCACTGGTAACCTTAGCAATCCGATGCATGATTTCATCATCTAAAGATCCTCTGTAGTTGACTTTGCTACCAAGATAGGTAAATGACTTTACATAGTTCAGGGCTTTGTCTTCTACTTTCAATTGTCGCTCTGGGCATTTGTAGACTGGTGGTTTTTGTTTAACATCACGAAATTGCTTCGGAGTAGGACAAGGCTTGTGCACTACTTCAGTTTTCTTTATGCTAAGTGTAAGACCAAACGCTTTACATGCAGCAGAGAAACGATTTATTAGATGATGGGCCTCCTCAAAGGATGCCGCAACAAGAGCAGCATAATCATCAAACAACAAATCACGGATAATTTGTGTACAAAGGTGGGTCTTGGTTTTGAAGTGTTGATGATTGAAGAGTCCGCCAGTTGTTCGAAACTGAAACTTAACGCCACTCTCTGTGTCTGCGAATGCATATTTCAGCATCACCGAGAAGAAAAGGGCAAAAAGAACAGGGGTCATGACACGCCCTTGCTTGGTGCCGTTCGTGACATCAAAGGATTCTGACATCATACCATCAGACACGATATTAGCTTTCATTCCTTCATGAAACGAGATGATGACCTTTAGCATGTTTTCTGGGATGCCGAGTTTCGTCAAGACTTGCCAAAGAGCAACTCGATTCACAGTATCAAAGGCCTTCGTCAACACCACAAACACCATGTACAGCTGCTGGTTTTTCCCGTGAACCTTCTCTGCAACTTGACAAAGAGAAAATATCATGTCACTGGTGCCACGACCCGACCGAAAACCACACTTCGATTCAGGAGAGATGTCGTCAACAAAGTGTATAATGATTCTGTTTAGAATCAATCTAGCTAGGATTTTGCCGGCAATTCAAAGGAGTGATATCCACCGATGAGAGTCACAGACACTGATGATACACTTCTTTTTGTAGAGGTGTTTGATATATATATATATATATATATATATATATATATATATATATATGTTTGATGTATATTTGATTTTGTAGAGGTGTTTGATATATATATATATATATATATATATATATATATATATATATATATATATATATGAGTGTGTGGGGGTCCATTAGAAACTCAAAAAGTAATATTTATCTTGTTTTACAAAAAATAATTCTTTTTTGCATTAAAAACTAAAACAAATTTTTATAAAATGAAAGTGTCGTGGTTGTAGTTGGTCTGTGAAGGAGACGTCACTCTGTCTTCTTCTCTTCCTACCTGACAAATGAAGGCAAGTTTTCATTATATATATATATATATATATATATATATATATATATATATATATATATATATAATAACACAATGGCAATGTAAAAAAGGTGATGTAAATCCAGGAATTATTTCAGTCAGTGTAAGTCTGAAAAAGAAAGATTTAAGGCTACTTGCCTTAAATGTCCTTTCTCTCAGACTTTGCAATAAAGTGCTCGATATCAGAGATAGAGCATTAATAAGATTAATACAAATATGAAATTTGTCACAGTTAATTTATGTCATTTGTATTAATCATATATATATATATATATATAACACATATATAACATATATATAATATATATATACACACATATATAATATAATACTTATATATATAAATAATATATATATAAATATAATAAATATATATATATATATAAATAATATATATATATAATATTATATAATATTATATATATATATATATGTATGCATTATATATAGGTTTATAATATAAGTTATTATAATTTTCATAATTTTTCAAGTTTTGAGTTAATGTATATTTGATGTAAGGAATATGCAAACACCTGGGTTCCGCCTCACACTAATATGATTGGCTGGTGTCAGCTATAATTACAGACTGATATGGAGGTACAGGGACGTCGCCTATTGTCTTCGCCTAATGCCTACCACTACGACGAGGACCAGTTCATTACGGTTACCTGCTAGATTGTCCTACTCGGTTACAGTAGTCAACAACCACTTTGCTACTTCGAACAAATATGTCCCTTTCCGGGACATATCAATATTGTAATGTAGATTGCCTGTTATGTTATTTTTTTCAGCGCTCCGACAATATTTGGCATAATTGTAACACTATAAGCATTTTGCAATGGAGTGTCTAAACACTCCAGAGGACTATCCATTTTCGGAAATTCGAGGTCACTAATGCACGGTTAAATAACCCACTGAGGTTGATAATACCGATGAAAAAAATCAGCCAACTAACCAACAAATCTATATCTTTTGGATTTATTTATAAATGCAAATGTATATTATGCTTTGTATAATAAAAAACTGGCATCTCCCAAACCTGTTATTGCGAATTGTTCTCTTAATACAATTCTACACCGAAATTCCCTCAGTTTATATTCTTTTATATAAAAGTTAATTTGGGTGTATCGGGTACTACCTTCGCAACCAAGCGGTCGAACCTGCTTTACTCAAGTGAATTGAGATGCGGAACTCTACTGGTCTACGGCCAGTCTCACACATGGCTCCAAGAAGTCGCATGTACACTACGACGGCTACACCCTGGTCAACGGTATCGACCTTCCGGCTAAACTGTGTGAGGGTAGTCAGAAGGGTTTCGGGTAACAGGGAATGCCTCTCCCTAATCTACCTGTACCAAACGGCTACCAGTCAATCGCCAGTCTGTGCGTAGTAGCTGAGCTTCGGAGGTCAACGGCTTTACCAGTGGACGGAGGTAAACACACCATCGCCGGTGCAAAAGGAATTAGAAATCCATAGTACTATTCTGCCTTAAATCTCACCAAGAACCACAATTGTGAGATAGAGGAGAGTGGTGATCACGGCGATACAAATGGCACAAAATGAATGAAGGAAAAGTTAATAATACCAATGAATAAATGACTTATAAATGTTTAAGATATCAATGAACTCGTAATAAAATATTTTTCACGTATATGGGACGCCATTACTCTAACACGCTTGTCCAATGCGTGTTAGTAGGAGCTTACAGACCCTGGTTTTCCCTAGCTGTCACTCATCTAGGTAGTGACCAGGCTCTATGGTACTTAACTTCGGTAAATGGACAAGATACGTTGTTTCAACGTGATTGCCTGTTATGTTATTTTTTAAGAGTTATGGCGATTTCCTAAGCGTACCCTAGATGTGGCACAAGGCCGAAAGTCTAGGGCACCCAGTGAGGATTGAACTCACTATACAGTCGTAATTGATCTAATTGAGAAAAGCTTGATAGCACGTTGATAGCCCCAAATGTTTTTCTAAGCATAGCTTAGATGTGGCAGAAGGCCGAATGTATGGAGCAGCCAATGAGGAGCGTACTCGCAACTGAATCGTAATTGGTCTACTAAGTTAAATTTGTTAACCATTACACCACATCGAAGGGCACCACAAAATGTTTCTTTAAACGTTGCTTAGATGTGGCAAAAAGTTCCCAATGAGGATCGAACCCACTACTCTTTCATAATTTATCTAGCTAGGAGCACCTCGACGTGGTGTAATGGTTAACAAACTTGTCTCGCTAGTAGTGATTTCGATCCTCACTGTGTGTCTCATATTTCCGGCTTTGTGTCACATCGAAATTACACTTACAAAATCACCATAAACTGATCTACCTAGACAAGTTTATTAACCTTTAAACCTCGTCAAAACCCCGAGCTTGACGGGTTAACGTAATAATCAAATGTAATATTTTTATGGCCGATGTCAGTGGTTCTTAACTGCTTTTTTTTAACTCCTTGCTCCAACTCGACAGCTAAAAAAAAATCCATAATGGTTTTGGGAGTCGTTGTGACTATTTGGATGTTATTTAGAAGGGATAAGTTGTTTTGGTTAGGAGATGTTATGGAATTGGGAGGTAGTATTATGTATCTGTTAAATATATATATATATTGAAAGACCCATGTCCTTTGTACATACATGAGAAACTATATATTACTAAGTTTATAAAAAAATAATGTTTACTAAATCAGAGAAATGAATTAGCTATTTTTGCTGTAATTGTCATAAATTTTACTTAAATAATATTTAAATATAAAATTTTAAAAATCGTAATACACATAATTATACTTGATATGGAAAAATATTTTTACTTACTGTAAGTAATTCTAATACATTTACTTCTTTTAAAAAGAAATATAGTCTATTAAAACTAACAGTGAAAATATTTTAAAGTTGTATTTAAAATTGTAGTTAAATAAAACGAATTCTAACCTAAACATCTTTTAAAATTGTAATTAAATAAAACGTATTCTAACCTAAACATCTTTTAAAATTGTAGTTAAATAAAATGAATTCTAACCTAAACATCTTTTAAAATTGTAATTAAATAAAACGAATTCTAACCTAAACATCTTTTAAAATTGTAGTTAAATAAAACGTATTCTAACCTAAACACCTCCCTCAAAGTACTACAAACACTTAAAAGAATCCAATAAAACACCTACAGTAAAATTAAATTAATATGAAAAGCTAGATGATAAGTCATTGAATGACTCATGTCCTTTGTACTTACATGAGAAACAATATATTACTAGGTTTATATAAAAAATAAAAGTTTACTAAATCAGTGAAATTAATTAGCTATTTTTGCCGTGATGCTCATAAATTTTACTTAAGTAATATTTAAATATAATTTTAAAAAAAGAAAAAAGTTACCTAATAATATACATACTTATACTTGATGTGAAAATAATTCTACATAATGTAAGGGATTCTAATACATTTACTTGTTCTTAAAAGAAATATAGTATATTAAAAATTATAAGTGAAAATATTTTTAAATCGTAGGTAAATAAAACGTATTCTAACCTAAACACACCCAACAAAAAAAAATCTTTAAATATACAAATAGGAAAAAATGCCGTTAGAATTTTTGCCGTTAACAATAAAAAGAATTTTTTAAAATCCAGACGACATGCATTTAACGGATGTCAGATTTCATTGAAAAATACATTCCTACCCCTACCAAAACGTAACTAATAACTGATACAATAAAATACAGCGATAATGAACACGCAAACACCCCTTGTCTGGTTGAATGGATTTCTTTGTATCCTTGGAAACGGAAATTATGATTTTTGCTGTGTCTTTAAAACCCAGTAATTTTAAAAGTTACTCCAAAATTCGCTTGAGTATGAAATGGAACTAATGTCTTTAATTTAATTACAAAATTAAATTCAGACTTTCAGCTTCCATTTTTTAAACAGGGTTAGAACTGTGTAGCGAAAAAAATATATTTTAAATCAATTAATTTATAATATATATATATATATATATATATATATATATATATATATATATATAAATTACTAATGTAAATAAAATTTCAAAATGTCACTTAGCTTATTGATGCTATATTCAGCGCCATGCCTCCAGAGTTTCGTAGAGGAAACTCTTCGTAATTGTAGTAGACACTCATCAGGTTCCATCAATTGACTATCGCTTTTCGCATATTCGTTATCTTTATGTACCAGTAAATATTTTGTTATATATTTGTGATTATATACATATATATTGCAATACAGTGAAAAGATCTAGGTATTCATTCTTTTTTCAAAACTTTGTCTGGCTTGTTCAAATCGAAGATATTCATGTTTTATTATAATGTAAAACGTAAAATAAGGAAATATGTGAATTCGCCTGAATATGTTTTTCGACTAAATCAATTAACACTTAACGTAACTCAGTTTTCAGGCACGGGGTGGTTTTCGATCTCCTCACAGAAATTCCTAACAGCCTCAGTTTTCAGCCACGGGGAGGTTTTCGATCTCCTCATAGAAATTCCTAACACCCTCAGTTTTCAGCCACGGGGAGGTTTTCGATCTCCTCACAGAAATTCCTAACAGCCTCAGTTTTCAGCCACGGGGTGGTTTTCGATTTCCTAACAGTCTCAGTTTTCAGCAACGGGGAGGTTTTCGATCTCCTCACAGAAATTCCTAACAGCCTCAGTATTCAGGCACGGGGTGGTTTTCGATCTCCTCACAGAAAGTCCTAACAGCCTCAGTTTTCAGCCACGGGGAGATTTTCGATCTCCTCACAGAAATTCCTAACAGCCTCAGTTTTTAGCCACGGGGAGGTTTTTGATCTCCTCACAGAAATTCCTAACAGCCTCAGTTTTCAGCCACGGGGTGGTTTTCGATCTCCTCACAGAAATTCCTAACAGCCTCAGTTTTCAGCCACGGGGAGGTTTTCGATCTCCTCACAGAAATTCCCAACAGCCTCAGTTTTCAGCCACGGGGAGGTTTTCGATCTCCTCACAGAAATTCCTAACAGCCTCAGTTTTCAGCCACGGGTTGGTTTTCGATCTCCTCACAGAAATTCCTAACAGCCTCAGTTTTCAGCCACGGGGTGGTTTTCGATCTCCTCACAGAAATTCCTAACGGCCTCAGTTTTCAGCCACGGGGAGGTTTTCGATCTCCTCACAGAAATTCCTAACGGCCTCAGTTTTCAGCCACGGGGTGGTTTTCGATCTCCTCACAGAAATTCCTAACGGCCCCCGAAAATATTCAAACCGTTCCGCCTTCAGAATCACAGACCCCCCAACCCGATTCACATCAGATGCACACTTACTACCGTTTCAACCACTAAGCCGTATCCTGACGTAGATTTAAAAAAATAAAAATGACAGACAAGTAAACTTAAATAGATATTAAATAAATAGAAATATCTATGAAGCGACCGAAATATATAGATAAGACGTAAAATTTCCCAAGTAATCCGACAAGGCCATTCAAAAGAGAAATCCTAACACTTCACCCCTCATTACGGATTCTATGGAATGATAAGAAAAGTTTGCTGTGCTGAAAGGTGATGGAAATGGCGCAGTTGACGCGCTGTCCCTTTAATCGGATTACAGGGGATAAATGACGAGAAACCCTCGCGTCTTTTCCAGTGCTAATGCTATTAGACATGGTTATTCGACACAACTCCCATCTCATCAGCGTTGAAAACTTTCTTGAGAAATACTCAACATTGTCCGCAGGAAATTTTTCAAGAGCGCGGACCTTGCTAGAGTTTGAAATGGAAAATTGGATTGAAAACTGAACAAGTAGACGCTTTCTTTCATCTGTCTACATTTTTTCCTTTTCCTTTTAGCCTGATGAACGACGCTTTGTACTAAGAAGCACCATTTAAAATTGCACTGACTTCTCTGAAAAGAGAAATAAAACAGAATCGTGTAGTTAGTAAACGTTAATTGAAAGAAAAGTTCAGTCCGCCTCTCCTGTGTGACAAAAGATGGTATATTATATATGTGTATAACATCCTTGTTTCCATTTCGTCTCTTGCAATCCTTTCGCCAAGTTCAGTCACATAAATTACAGTTTGAACAACGGATGGATTGATCCATGGGAGGAAAGACGTACTGAATGCGCGCAAAGATAACTTCTACGCACAAACGCCTGATTAAAGTTTTGAAAAATAAGTAAATAATTTCTTTTAATTAATTCGATAACCAAGGTTGCCAGATTTGAACCGCTGCTCAAATCTAATTTTTTTTTTTACAATGTTGTTCAAGGTTCAAGAGCTACTCGAGGGTGGAGTTTACATAGTCAAAGGCACAATTTTGCGGATATGTTGTGAAGATAATCATCAACCTAGACTTAAACAGGTTAAGAGTAGTGATTGGGAAGCTTCGTCTTGGGAGTTGGTTCCACAAAGCAAGTTCGTGATCTGTTCGAATTGAACTTATATCTCATTAATGATTAACGAACGTTAAATTGGTTTGCTATAATGTGCGAAGCAAACCGTGAAGATCATAACTTGTGGGACTAAATTCCACTGATTCATTTTCTCTGGTTTATCAACCCCTTGTAGGTTATTTAAAGCCAGAAAATTTTTTTTAGAATCTGAAATTTTTTAAAATAATAATGGTTTAGTGATACAAGTCTTACTAATTAACCCATAACTAAGGCGAATTCATACCTTTACCAAGGGTATGTGCGCCTAAGCGAATATATCGAAGCCAACGGGAATCGAAACTCAGCTCTCTGATTAATATTTCCGAGCCATTATCCATTAAACCAAACAAACATGCAAGCTTACATCTGCTATTCCCAAACAGTCGCCCATCTAAGTACTGACGAGGCTCGACGTTGCTTAACTTCGGTGATCGTACGGGAAACGGTACTTTCAACGTGAATTTAGCCGTAAGCCCCAAATATTATAACATACAAAACACATGAAAAATATCGGTCACCAATCTAGGTACTGACCAGGCTCGACGTTGCTTAACTTCGGTGATCGTAGTTTCAACGTGATGTGGCCATAAACCTCAAATAGTATAGCATGTAAAACATGAAAAATATTGACCAGGCTCGACGTTACTTAATTTTGGTGATTGTACGGTCACCCATCTCAGTACTGACCAGGACTGACGTTGCTTATCTTCGGTTATCGTACGGTGGAACTAAGGAATGTAGTTCGTCTGAACACCTTCCATGGAAACGTCGCAATGACTCTCGCTGCCTAACCATAGCAGCGGCAAGAAGTCTTGCGTCGTTTCGTCTGTTGGAATGATTTTTAGTTTTTCGTATATAAATTGATCCTGTTAAGTAATATTTTTTAAATCATTTCATGTATCGTTATGCAAATTAGAAATCAATTGAATTTAAATTTGAACGGGGTTTCCTGTAATTCTGTTTGGCCAATAAACCTATAAATTTCTGTCGATCACTTATTATGAAGAATGATCTTGATAAGAGACAGACTCATAGATTGCCTGATTATCTCGTCTTCTTCCGGAAGAAAATTGTCCAGCCTTCATTGTCATATTGTCATATATTCTGTAGGAGTTCATCACTCTTCTGTTTTTTGCACAGAATTTTCCAGTTTCTTAAAGCATTGTTTAACTTTCAGAAGGCATCTTTCACTGCTTCAGTGCGTTTTCGGATTTCTGTATCATATTATCAGTCGTTTGTTAAAATATTTCCCAGATATTTAAATTTTCGTGCTCGCTTGATTCTTGCATCTGTAATTTGTAGCTAGCATCTGTAATTTGTAGCTAGCATTATTGAACTAATATTTTTTTATTCTAGTATAACGCTATAATTGTGTGTCACCCAGTGCGGAATTACCGTATTTTCTGGCTTACAAGACGCATTTTTTGCTAAAAATACCCTGAAAAATATGTGTGCGTCTTCCAAGACGAATATAAGGCAACGCCCAGGATCAAGTAAGCTTGTACGGTCACTTAATTGGCTTGACTGATAGGGAAGTGGATTTATATGTTGAGTGATTAGCTATCTATCTAATTCAGCCTATGATGTAACCTCAGTATTTAGCTGCTACAAGTATTTCCAAGACTATAAACCTTCCCGGAGCCGAGCCACAAACTTAAACATGGTCTGTTTACTAGCAGCGGCAGGAGTCTATTTTGCTCTTGATTAGTATGTCATTGCCATACAAACAAGATTGAACGAGTGATTAATGTAAACAATTCGTGGCGCCAGTATGTGAGGGACGCATGGTGAATGTGTTGTTGTATGAGAATGACATTTTTTTTTTCTTAGAAATTTCTTTCCAATATTAGGGTGCGTCTTCCAAGCCGCAGCGTCTTGTAAGCCGGAAAATACAGTAATTCATTCAGCTCACAAATTGTCTGCAAGACGAGCTCGTTAACCAAGATGCCATAATTCCTTATTTATTTACTAAGCACAGCTGAGGCTGTTACAAAGCCACAACACGTATGAAAAATGAATTCAATAAAGTCGAAATTGATCTGATTGACGAACTTATTCAAACTGTTAATACGAGTTTGCTATTAACACATAACTAAAATTATATCAACAATTATCTCCCCTTTAATAGAAAAAAGTTAATATGATCGAATATAAATAATTATCTCCTCTTTAAAAAAAAGTTAACATGATCGAATATAAAGTGTTACACGAGGGAATAATGAAATATCTTTAGAAGGAGACCTTTACAGTAGAATATTGATATTATTTGTATTATATTGAAACCCACGAGACATCGCGAAATTTTCCATTAAACTCGATTGGACATTAAACAATTTGTATTGCAATTTATCAAAAATTGCGGTTACAGATATCTCCTTACTGATTAACTGATTTTTTTTTTTTTTGGTTTGTTTGTTCGCTTTTTCTTTCTTCCGTTTCTCTACTTCCCCCCCCTTTTTCGCTTTGTCTCTTCAGTTTTTAGCAGTTTTTTTTTTTTTTACATTTACTTTCTTTCGTTATTTACTTTTATTTTCAGTTTTGTTTTCTTCTTTTTTTTTACCACATTTTTTATTTTCTCCTTTTTTTGTTGTTTTTTTCGTGTCGTTATTTTCATTTTTTTTCTTTTGACTCTTTCTTTTCTTTTATCCTTTTTTTCATTTTCTTCTAATTCTTTCCTTTCTTCTTCTTTTTCTTCTTTTTCATCTATTCTTCTCTTTCTTTTTTTTTTTCTTTTTATCTATTTATTTTCTTTCGACTCTTTCTTTTCATCTATTCTACTTTTCTTCTGACTTTTTCTTTGCTTCTTTTTCTTTTGTCTCTTTTTATTTTCTTCTGGCGCTTTCATTATTTTTTTCTTTTCTTTTTTCATCTTTTCTTTTGGTTTTCCTTTTTGCTTTTCTTTTGTCTCTTATTTTCTTTCAACTCTTTCCTTTTCTTTCTTCCTTTTCAGCTTTTCTTTTCTTTCTTTTCTTCTTTTATGTCCCTTTATTTTCTTCCGACTCTTTCCTTCTTTTTCTTTCTTTTCATCAATTCTTCTTACTCTTTTTTCCTTCTTCTATTTCTTTACATTTTTTTTTAATTTTTTCATTCTTAATTTCTTTTGTATCTTTTTTCTTCTAATTTTTCTTTCTCACTTCTTCATGCTTCTTCCTTTCTCTGGTTTCTTTTCTTCTCTTTTATTCTTAAACCTTCTTTACCTCTTCTCTTTCTTACACTTCTGATTCTTTCTTATTTCCTTTGACACTTCTTCATTATTTTCATTCATTTTCTCTTGCCTTCTTTTCATTGATTCTCTTTCCATTGTTTGTCTTCATTTCTCGATTTTTGACTCTCTTCGCGATATTTACTAAACGTAGCATAAGGAGTAAATTTAATGCCAGGAAGATTATGTTACGCCAATCAAAATCCTGGATTTCGATACTGATGAGCAATGCACAAATACCTCAGCCACGAAACAGCCTCTCTTGCTAACCTTCTCTTTAATTTCAGTTCTTTGTTTTATTTCTTTGTTACTTTATCTTTTCTTTCTTTCTATATTTCTTTCTATCACCTTCTTTTTCTTTTTTCTGTTACTTAACTCTTTTTTCTTTCTCTCCCTCACTTTCTTTGTTAGTTTATTTCTAAATTTCATTTTCTCAATTTCTTTGTTTCTTTTTCTCCCTTTATTTCTTTGCTTTGTTATTTCTCTTTCCTTATTTGTTTGTCATTTACTTTCATTCTTTCTTTAATTTTGCTATTTTCTTTCTTCCTTTCGATTCTTTCTTTCTGTCTCCCTCTTTCTTTCACCTTCTTCTTCTTCTTCTTCTCAAGACTTCCTTTCCTCCCCTCGTTACGATTTAGATTAAACAATGCAAGACTTTTCGCCGACCATGTCTCATTTAAATCGGGTCCTTCTCGTTCATACGCCGTGCATGTGTAATGATTGTTCACAGGCGTTCTCTTTCCCAGCCGGAGGCGAAGATGCGCGAATCGTTACAAGAAATGACTAAGTACTAAATTACTGCCCAACACCGTCAGCCCTCCATCTTCGTACAGTTTCGTGTGTCTCTGAGGGGTTCGCATCCCATCTCAAAAAGCCGTGGGACATTCTTCAAACCGGTTAATCTCCTTCGGGCACGTGATGATCGAACGGACATGTCTTGGGAAAATGGATGGACACTTTTAACCCCTTTTCCCGGCCAGCCATCATCATTAAGTGCTAATTTTGAGCATGCAACGCACTACTGAGACAAGGAGGTGGCGCACTGGAGTGTCTGAGAATAGGCCACGAAGAATTGCTCCACATGCGAGCTTCCATACATTTAACGCCTACATCTCATTAACACGTTTAAATGACAAGAGACCCTTTCTGCCGACAACTTGTGTTAGCATTCGAGGAATATCCGAGGAAATTGGACTCTGTTGTGGAGTTACCACGTGGAAATCATTGCAGTTTTAGAAAAGGACACCCGCAAGTGCCCTTTTATCACTTAAGGAGCACGTAATTACAGGTACTAAGACTAATTCTACTGTAAACTTGATGCTAGGATCTTGCCGGACAATCCATTGGGCCGATCCAACGGAGGTCATGTAATAATAATGTAAATCTCTTTGGAGTATCCCATAACTTAAAGCATTAACACTTAGAAATTTAAATATTTCTTATGAAAGAATCTGAGAAAAAAAAACATTATTAAGAAGAGAGAACAATAAAAGAACAGGAATTAAGAAGACAGAAGATAACGATTGACATTGCTTTTAAATTTTTTGAGATCAAAGTTGACTGGAAAGCAAGATGTTCCCCAAGCAAGAAGTGGGAAAGAAGAAATTGTTGACATAGAACTTACGGTTACATCTAGAAATTCTAATCGTAAAATGATGAGACCGATCTGCCAATCTAGTAATGCGCTTAAATTCGTAAAGTCTAGAGGGAAGCTCTTCAGAACAATCACCATGAAAATATTTATAGAAAAAGCACAGGGAATCTACGTTACGGCGGTGAGAAAGTGACTGAAGCCGAGATGCGAGGTCAGGACCAATAACATTGCAGATTGCCATAAATGACCACATCTAACATAGACGGCGTGAAAAGTAAAACAGAACACAGTATTCTTTGGTCATAGGGCTAAAAAAAAAAGGAGAAATAACTTGATTAGCCGGCTGACAAAAAGATATTGCTGAAACATTTCACGGCGTTTACAAAAACGTTCTTCTTTTTTTTTTTTAGACTACACTCAACGTGGCCATGTAACGTTGCATTAACTGAAAGTGCCTAATAAATTCCAAAAAGGCATTATCTAAATTAATGATTTTCAATTTAAAAATAGGGAAAAAATTTAACATTAAAATGAAGAAAAAGTATTCCAGTGTTTCATATATATATATATATATATATATATATATATATATATATATATATATATACGCAGTACTTAGTGAAAATGCTCAATATCAGTGATAGAGCTAACATATTCATTTGTA